CATGTGAATTTCTTTTTTTTAATTTTGTTCTGCCTGCCTGCCTGCTTGCCTGCCTGCCTGCCTGCCTGCCTGCCTGCCTGCCTGCCTGCCTGCCTGCCTGCCTTCCTCCCTCCCTCCCTCCCTCCCTCCCTCTGACTTTCTGCCAGTGCAAACTCTTCCAATCTCCTCCCTCTCTCAAAGACTAGGAAACTCCATGGGGCCAGATCCGATTTAAAAACACACCCTTGTGGGTACTGAAAATACATCAATGTTTATCATAGTTGTTTACAGCAATACACTCTTCGAACTGGGGGAGGGAGGGAGAGAGGGTGCTCAGGGTGATAGCCCTGCTTGAAGCACCCCATCAGAGCCTCCATAGTTCAAGCTTTTGTGTAGCAGGCTGGTAACTACCAAGTTATTTTCTTCCACTGTCACCCCAGCTTCTGTTTGTGGGTGTGTGTACAGATATGCACTACATAGCTGGTAGCCACCAGCTCCTGGCTGCAGAAATTTGTAAAAATTAGATTTCTTGGTTGGTTAACCTTCCCGATGCCCTCCCGGTGTAACAATATTCAAATGTACTTTCTCCTATTACTAGTAGTAATATTTGCCATTACGTTGCTGTTGATTCTTGGCAACCACATAGCTGAAATTTGTCCAGGGTGGGCTGTCCTCCCCCAGCCCTTTAAGCCTCTCAATGGGGCATTCATTGCTGTTGCAGTTGGATCCATCCACCTTGTGGCTGGTTGTCCTCTTCTCTTTCCTTCTCCAGCATTGCAGACGTCCCCAGAGCACTGGGTCTTTCCATAGGGTGTGCCAAATACAATAATTGGAGCCTGGTCATTTGGGCCTCCAATGAGAACTTTGAATTGGTTGGTTTGACGATGCATGTGCTGGTTTTCTTGTCTCCCCACGGTATTCTCAAGAGACTTCTCCAACGCCGACATTCAAAAGCATCAGTGCTCTTCCTACCCGGCTCCTTCAACTTTTGCACCCTCCTTTTCTCCTCCCAGGCTCCCCCCAATGCCCTAGCCAAGACCGTTTTGGCTGAAGTTCCCAAGCAGGTGGTGGAATATTATGGGAGCAGAGGCATCTCCCCCGGGACACAGAAACCCTCCTCTCCACTGCCCCAGTGAGACCCCCAAGCACCGTTCCCTGTGGGCATGATCTGTCCAGCACCTGAATGTGAGTGTCAAGAGGGTGGCGTTGGAGTGGGGGGGATGGGAG